CTGCGAGCCTTTTTGGCACCCTTTGTAGTGCAGCGGCCTCCCAGCTCCAGTCCATTCCCCCGAGCGCTGGAGGCGCATCGGGGAGTGAATCGCAGCTTTAGCCAACGTGCGCCCGCCGAGTGGCGGCGGGCCAGGAAAAAGCGTGAGAAGATCAAGGTGTGCTTTGCGAACGTTACCTCCTGGTCTGTTCTCACGAAGTCCCACGTGTCGCAGTCTGTTTCCGAGGTTGATGCCTTCCTTCTCGCTGAGCACCGTGCGCGGGCTTCAGGCCTGGGCAATGCGAAGAAGGATGCGCGTGCTATTGGGTGGGCCCCACAGTTTCAGGCTGCTCTCGATTCTCCTGGGGGAGGTACTCATGGTGGGGTGGCTTTCCTCGCGCAGAAACGTTTAGCGCTTCAGAAGTTCCTGACTCAGTGTTCTGGGGTCATTCAGGTTGGCTGCGGGGCCTGCTGGCTCTTCCTGGAGCTGAAGTTAGACGGGCACTCTATCGCGATAGGTGTCTGTAATCTGGTGGCATCCATCGGCATGGCTGTTGAGAATCTGAATCGAATGCGCGATATATGTCAGTTGGTTCGGACCCTGGTGGTCCCCTGGATCCTCCTGGGCGGTTTCAATAATGACCCTCAAGGGCTGGCAGATTGGGTGGTTCGCGTTGGCTCGATCCTGCCCCTTGGTTCCAAAAAGCGTGGGGTTCACCTGTGACGCGGGTGAGACGATGATCGATTTCTTGGTATGTTCCAGAGACGTGTACCGCGCCTTTGATTTGAAGGCAGTCTTGACGGCTCCATTTAAGACGCATGCATGCCTGCTGGCTGAGATCGACGCCGACGTCCTTAGCATGGAGGTCACCAGGCGCGTGAAGTGTCGTGATATTCCACGTGCTTTTGGCCCTGATCATGTCTGGCTGTACTATTGTAACATGGCGCTTAAGGATGACCCTCAGGTTCTGATTCCTGGAGATGTGTCTGGCGCGTTTTTTCAGGCATACCTCGGAAGTCCTTTCCCCTGAGCTCTCACGGGCTTATGCGTTGTGGTCCAGGTCCGCGGAGTACGTGTTCGCTTCCAGGGCCTGTGCTATTGTGGATCTCCAGAGAGCTCTTGGGAGGGGCTTGGGGCTGGCTACTATCTCGGTGTCTCTGAAGCGGCATGGGGCTAGGCAACAAAGTCTCTCATGTGGTTATCTTTGCTTCTGGCCCCTGGTGCATTCGCGGCTTTATGGGTACTTGAAGTGTTTCCGCAAGACCCCTGGGAGTAAGCATGCCTTGGGCTTGAAGAGTCTTGTCAATCGTTTGTCTAATGCTGTTTACATATTTATTAAACCCTTGGATGAGCCTGGAGATGCTACCTGGCGGTCTGGGGCTCTGACTGGTGACCTGAGCGCCCTTGATGGCGTTCAGGACATGGTCGACAAGGCCACGCAAGTTTGTAGTAAGGCGTGGGCTAAAGCTCGTTCTGGCACTGAAGCTTGAATTCGCGAATGGCTTCGTGCTTGTCTCCCTGGTGGCGCTCCCAAGTTGCGCCGGTGGTTGAAGGCCAATCATCGGGTCACGGTCCAGTTCTTCAAAGGCTTTAAGGATGTCGTGCAGAATCCCAAAGATATGATGAAGCATCGTGAGCGCTTTTGGGGAGGTTGGTGGACCCCTGATAGTGCGCGGCGCCGTTTGCTGGAAGAGTCTTTTGGAGAGTTGCGGGCTTCTGCACCACTTGCGGCCATGGAGGCCCCTGACCTTGAGGTGAGAGATCTAGCGCAAGCCTGCCAATGATTTTCTGCTACGACGGCACTTGGAGTTGATCAATGGCCTCCCCGCGTTTGGCTATCTTTGCCTCCGCATGCGCTGGATGGGGTCCTTCAGATCTTCCAACACGTTGAGCAGGAGCTGACGTGCCCATCACAATGCTTGTTGAATATCATGGTCATGTTGCCTAAAAGTGAGTGCGATTATCGCGCGGTGTCTAAGTGTTCTACATGTTACAGAGTGCATGCTCGGATGCGCGGTGGCATGATTGATGCATGGAATCGTCAGCAAACCGGTTTTTGGGACTGTGCAGTCCGAGGTTCGTCGGCATTTCAGAGTGCCCTTTTACGCGCCCTGTGCTTCGAGGTGGCTGGCAACCAGTCCTTTGAATCGTTGGCCGTCCATTGGGACATGGAACCGTTTTTCGACAGCGTGGTTGTCTCCATGCTTGTGCAAGTGGCTTTGAAGCTAGAGTATCCTCCGATGTTGTTGTACCTGGGGGTCCTTGTGCATTCCGCTCCTCGCGTTTTGGAAGTTGAAGGTATGTTGTCCAAGGTTATCCCCACAGGTAATTCTATCCTTGCTGGTTGTACGCAATCTATGCCTTGGGTAAAAGCCTTGCTGCATGATGTCTTGCACCGTGCGCACCACCGCCTTCCGCGTGTTCCTGTGCAGTCGTATGTGGATGACATCGCGCAGTTTGCGTTTGGCACGAGTAAGTATATCATGAGTGTGGTACCGTCTGCTGTGCTCCAATTCTTTCGCGACGTCACTGCATGTGGATGCAAGGCCTCCACGAGGAGCGGAGTAGTGGCATTTTCTGCGCCCCTGCAGCGTGCTGTAGTTGATGAGTTCAAGCGGATGGATATCCCTGTTCGCGCCTCCGAGGCCATGAAGGACCTTGGAGTGATGTCGGCGGCTGGGAGGAGAAGTGCGCTTGGAAGGTTAGATTGAGGAAGAGGACGGCTTTCAGGAGAGCTAGAAAGTTGCAGTATCTGGCTAAATTGTGCGGAAGGTCTCGGAAGGTGTTCAACCCTGGCGTGTTGAGTGTCGGTACTTGGAGTCACAGTGTCTTGGGATTGCCTGTCTCAGGGGTCCAGTCCTTCCGTGCTTCTGCTGCTAAGTGTTCGGGCTTCTGGTCTCCTGGGATGTGTACCTCGACCGCGTTGGCTATTCGCCATCTGTATGCCGGCGACCCCTCGTATAGACTCCGAAGAGAGCAGCTTGGGGCCCTGGCGTGCATTTGGAAGTCTTTGTCCCTGGGCCTTCGGAATGGTGCGACTCGGACGTGGGCCCCTGTGCAGGCTAGGCTGCCCCCCCTGGCACCCAACCGTCGCTGGGCGACGGTGAAGGGCCCTATTGCTGCAATGGTGGCTACTCTTCTGGATCTAGGCTGGGGGCCCCTGTCCCCGACAAGATGGAGAACCCCCCATGCTGGTGCTTGATGCTGAGAAGTCCGATTTCCTGTACTTCCTGGATTTATGTGTGAAGCATGCGGTTTCTTTGAAGAGCTGGACGGATGCAAGCAATCACTATTGCGAGGTCGGTGCCGATGAAGGTTTCGATTTTACTGTGTTCAGGCGCATGTATAGGAAGCTTGTGTCCGACGGCTTCCATCAGGGTGCGGCGCTGCCGGCTTGCACTGTATGTAGTGGATGTTGGCCCGAAGCACGGCTTCGGCAGGCTGGCTACCTTTCTGACGGAGTCTGTCCTCGATGCGGCGCTGGTCAGGAAACAATGATGCATCGTGTCTGGTTCTGAAGTTGCAATGACATGATTGAGTCCACTGGTAGGGGTCAGTCTGCACATTTGGTTCCTGATGCTCAAGATGCCGCGCGTGCGTGCCCTGAAAGTGCCTTCTGGAATCGAGGGCCCCCTACGTTGGCTGCCGCCGTCAATCGTGTTCCGCCGCCAGTATCCTTGGTCTTCGGATGGGGTGTCGTATCTGCTGGACAACCTGTGTCTGGAGGCGTATGGGGCCTTGATGGCTCTGGGGGAAAACACGCGGATGACTGGAGACTTCGGAGGCGCGGTTGGGCCATGGTGCGCATGGATGCTACCTCGGGCCCTGGCGATTTCAGACTTGATGGAGTCCTTTGTGGGGCGTTACCTACCCGTGAACAGTCCAGTCCTAGGGCTGAATTGTATGCCTTGCTCCAGCTGCTGCTCATGACCACGGGCAACGTTGTGGCGCACTCGGGCTACCTCCCCTTGGTCAGGGCCCTCCGCAGGCCTCGTGAGATGATATCCAAGACGTCTCCCATGATGGACTTGTGGGTCAAGATCTGGGAGGCGATGGACTATCGGTCTGGGGGTGTCGAATTGTTGTGGGCAACAGTACATACTACGGCTTCGTTACGTGATGCCTGGGGCCTCAGCGAGGCCGAGTGTTTTTTGAATGCATGTGCTGATTATTTCGCTGGGGTGGCCGCTGCTAAAGGGGAGGTAGTCCTTGAATATGTCGAGCTAATTCAAGATGCAGATTTGCTAACCTCCCAAGTGTTGTGCCGGTTGCTTGACGTCAATCGGGAGGTTAGCCTCGCTTGCCACCGCAACAAGGCCGAGCGCGTTGGTAGGCCGCCACCTCGTCCGAGGTCGCTGCCCACCGATGTGGTCCGTCGGCGGCGGCTGCTTTGGGCTGGCCATTCGGTCGAGTCTGCTAAGAAAGGCCTGTTGCGGTGCCAGGTGTGTGGACGTAAGTTTAAGGCCTTCGTGGGCCGCCTCGCCGAATTTTGGCCTGGGCGATGTACGGGCCCTCCTGCGCTGCGCGATGGCCCCGATGCGGTCATGGCCCATCCGTGCTGGTCTCGGGTGCATAGCAGCCATCAGTTGCACTGCTTGCGTGGCGTGCTATTTTGCAGATTCTGCGGTTGGCAAGGTTCAAGCGCTGGCCGAGCGGTGCCCACCTGAGGGCCCCACCAGGGCGGGCCGTGAAGTGCTGTCCCGTTTGGGGCGAGGCCTCCCTCCAAAGAGTGGAGTGAGGTTCCCGCCTGGGCACTGATTGAGGGATGCGGGTCTCCGTTTATCGGAGAGGGCCCAGCATTGCAAGGTCAAAAAGGTCCTCCTCCTCCTCCTCCTCCGCCTCATTCTTCTCCTCCTCCTCCTTCTCCGCCTCGGGTCGCCTAAGGCCTCTGGGGGAACCGTGCACTTGAGAGCATCCCGAGGGTGGAAAACCTGCGAGAACTTACTAAAGCACCAGAACATTGCGAACCTCGAACTTCGGGAACCTCTGCCTTCCCCCCTGGGCGCGCAGCCGAAAGCCAGGTTCCCGCACGTGCTCAACAGCACCGTCTGTGGCGACGAGACGGTGTTCCCGCCGCCTCCCGCGGGTCGCTCAGCTGCTTGCCAGAACCGCTTTGGCGCGATCTCCTTGGCACGCCAGTCGGGGGCAACGATGGGGGGGGATAGGCACAAGGGGGGACGCATCGACCCCCAATCTCCCATGGATCGCTGATAGGGGCCCGATCAGCCCCAACCTGCCCAGGAAGGTGCGGATTCACTATCGGATGCGTATCGCCGATCTATCGGCGATGCGTCGCCGATTCCAGGTCGATGCATCCCCCGTATGCCAGTCCCCCCTATCGTTGCCTCTCAGCCAGGCCTTGCTGGGTTCGGCATGTTCCTTCTTCGGCGGCGAGCCCAAGGTCAGTATCGTTTTAACCGGCTCCTATCCCCGTTCCCAATTCCATCCAGACCCCCACCATCTCAGCACCCCAGTTTGGGATACCCTTCGAAATCCGCAGAAAACTGCTTACATTCCCATCCAGAAAGGGTAAGTCGGACAGTGGGTTCCAGGCCACGCCCATGGGGACAGGGGTCGGTGAATCAGTGCTCACAAATGGGGAAGTGAGGGGGGGGGGGCAGGCCTTCTCAGAAGGCTGCGGGGCTTCTCAGAAACCCCCGCGCCCTCCGAGGAGACGTCTGTGGCCCCAGAGGAGGCTCAACAAGGCTTCTCAGAAGGAGCGAGGGCCTCTGAGAAGCCCCGCCGCCGCCCGAGAGGGCCTGCCCCCTCTCGCTTCCCCCCTTGGATTAAGTCGGGCGTGTCCCTCTAGAGGAGGAATTTTCAAAAATGGTCAAAAAATAGTCAGGGGACGATTTTGGGATTCATTTTTTAGCATTTTGCTTATTTGTTTATCCTTATTTCAAAATCCGCCTGTAGGGGGACATGCCCGACCTAACCCTGGGGCTCACCGCCACTCTTTGGCACGCCACGTTCCCGGACCTCCGCTCGTCGTGTGACACACCAAAAAAAAACACGACGGAACGTTTCGTCCTCATCTTCGGCCGCCCTGGCCCTGGGAACGTCAAACACAGCTCGGGATAGTTCGGGGGTGGACAGACCTCCTACCCTGACACGTCGATTAGCGAATTGGCCGTTTTCGGTTCGCGAGAGGGTGTCGCGGCCGTCATTTTTGCGGGTCCAGGTCCGTCGGTTTCGGTCCCAGGCCGTTTTCACTAAGGGGAGGTTTACTAAAGGGAGGTTTGTCCACCGCCGAGGGATGACGGTCGTTCTCTTATTCGTCGTTTTGCCGATCGGCGCGGGCCCCCTCCCCCCGTCCCCCCCATGGAGTGAACCTTGGCTGTTTTTTTGGCGCCTGTTTCGAGCAGGTGGACCCTCCCCCATAATGTAAGCCCTTTTCGAAACAGCCGCATTAAGCAGAGGTCCGGAGCCAGACCTCCCCCCCTCCCCCCCGCTTCCGCCCAATATCGAAACGCCGAAGAAGAAAACGCTCACATACAGAGCCGGTCCCAGGCAAGGGGCTTAAACCATATAAGATCACGGCGTCGGAGATCCGGATTCGTGACCTATCCCTGTTCGCCTTGGCTGGCCCCGTCCCGCTCGAAGGATGCCGACACGGCCTTCCCAGGCCCTTGCATCCTCATCGCGCGTCCTTATTATACGCGTTGACTGCATGTTCTTGTGGCTCACTGTCAGTCCCTCCTCCTCTTTTGGGCGGGGGGGGACTCAGTTGTGCTGGGCCATGGAGGGCACGGGTCGTCGTGGTGGCCGGGGGGGGCAGGGAACTGCAGGGGACGTGCGCGGGTGGGAGTGCAAAGGGGCTCTTAACGCACCCTTCAGGGCCTTTTTTGGAATCAGCAGGGGCCCTAAAAAGCTTCTTCGGGGCGTTCTCCCCAAGCAGCTTGCTGAACGGGGTGCTGTTGTGATAGAGGCCAGTCCCGGCCAGAGGACAGGAGGACAGAGACCTCAACAAAATTCTGGTGGTCCGAGCCGTTACGCCTGACACATCTTCACATCTCTCGTTTCTGAGTTGTCTGGGATTGGCCGTTTCGCTTGAGACACCCTCGAACATGTAAGCTCCGGTGCGCCGCGCGCGAGGTGGTCCGGCGCGTTTCTCTTGAGACATCCTCGCAAGTTTGCGCTCCAAGCTGCCGCGCGGGAGGTGGTCCGGCGCGTTTTGCCGGAGACATCCTCCCAATCCTGAGCTCCAAGCTGCCGCGCGGGAGGTGGTCTGGCGCGTTTCGCTTGAAGCATCCTCACAATTCTGAGCTCCAAGCTGCCGCGCGCGAGGTGGTCCAGCGCGTTTCGCTTGAGACATCTTCCTGGTTCTGCGCTCCGAGCTTCTCCGTCCGAAGGGGAGCATGGCCAGAAGGGCACAGGGAAAGGGCAAGGGATCGTAGGACGTGGAGCCAGAGGGGGCAGAGGTGGGAGAGCCAGGGGACGGAGTACGTCTGGACGTGAGGGGCGCGGACGGAACACTGGTAGTGGCAGGGGCTCGGGTTCTCTGCAGCGCGTGCCGCCACCACCGTCGATCGGCTAGCCCACTGCGAGCACTGGCTCGCCCACACGGCCGCCCCCGCAGGAGGGCGGGGTCCTCGTCGTCTTAATCATTTAATGTGCGTTACTTGCAGCCCTCATCGCACGAGTGCTACCGGAGTTTCGAGGGAGATCGTGAGGGCAACCCAGCGTCCACAGCAGCAATTCTTAGTAAGAGAAGGACTTGAACGCGACGAGAGAAAATGGAGGAGGAGAAAGGAGGTGGGGTCGATGACTGTAGGCACCCGAACACCTCCAAGCCTGTCTCCCCTTTCTCGGCCAGTGCTCGCTGGTGGAGTTCCCTTCCATCATTTAGGAAGCGGGCCACCTACAGTACCAATGGCTAGTATGATTTGATACTGTGCATGTGCTTGCCGCATATGTACTGAGCATATGCACTTGCTGGATGCAGGTTTCGTCGCTGTGACGTAGCCGACCTGATGCTCGCGTATGCCCAAGACGTCAGTTTGTCCACTTACGTTTTCCCATGTATAGGTTTGTAATTGCGGCTGCAGCGTGCTGCCAAGTGCCACTCCCCTCCTGGGAGTATCCCGGGCCGTCTTGGGAGCTTCTCTTGAGGCCTCCTAGACGTCCCAACAGTTGCCTAGCCTGAGCTTCCGCGGTATTCCTCCTCATGTTCTCTGCATGTCTCTTCTCCTCTCCCGCGACAGCTCTGACTGCTGTCGGATGGCAGGGTGCCAGGGCTGCGCTCTTGGGCGGGCTGGCGCGAGATCTAGCAGGTTACTGGAGGAGCGGGCGCATGCTCGCGGGCACGAGCAAGAGGCCTGCAGGGCGGCGGCAGCTCGCCGCGGGGAGCCTCCCATTCTTCCGTACACTCGCAAAGTGCCTACTTGCAAACGTCCGAAAAGCATGTGTTTGTTTTGATGTAATGTATCGTAGATCCCCCGCGGGGGATCCAGGCCATTTGCGAGCAGTTACTTTGCGAGTTGTGGAACGCGCTCGTCGAAAAGGTGAGGAGGAGGAGGAGGAGGACGCGAGGAAGAAGCGGCGGCGAGCTTTGGGGGGAAGCGAGAAGGGGCGGTCTTCTCAGAAGTCTCGGAAGCCCCCCCGCCTTTTGAGAAGTTGCTGAGCCGTTCCCGACGACACGGAAAACCTCTCAGAAGGCGCGGGGGTTTTTGAGAAGCCCCACCGCCTTCTGAGAAGGCATTCTCCTTCTCACTTCCCCCCCATCGCCCCTCGCTCGCCGCCGCAGATCCGCGGGGACCTCCTGGACTTGATGCGTTATGTTTATATAAAGTTGTCTTGTTCCTCCAGCTCTAGAGACAGTGCATGGCGGAGCGACGAGAAGAAACAACAGCTCGTGCACCGATCGCACTCGAGGGGACGTCGTTGCCGCATCGGCGCCGCCAGCAGGAGAGCAGTCGAGACAACGGCTGCCCCCCTTGGCGTTTTCCCCTCCGTGGGCCTCCTGAGGGCAGGCGCCTCGTCACCGCGGCGAGAGTAGTTGCGCCTCGAGAGGCGGGTCGGGACGGACCCCGAGAGGTGTCTGGTGATGGGCACATCTCCCCACCACCACTGCCACAGGTAGAACGGGGGAGAGGGGAGGATGGGGAGGTCTTCCTCCTCCTCCTCCTCATCCTCATCCTCCTCCTCCCCCTCCTCCTCCCCCGCCTCCTTCTCCGGCTCCTCTTCCTCCTCCTCCTCCTCTTCCTCCTCCCCCTCCTTCTCTCCCTGCTCCCCCTCCTCCTCCCTCTTCTACCTGAGGTAGTGGTGGTTGGAAGTAGGCCCATCATCTGGGGGCGATCTTGAGCGGATGCCTCAGCCTGGCGGGAGCCGCCGCTGTCTCAGCTGGTTTTCGAGAGGGTGGAGGGGGGAGGCTGCCATCCAGAGCCCATTCCGATCCGATCGGTCCGATTCGATATCGGCCCCAGCCGGCCCGACTCGACTCGATTCCGACGTTCGGGCGATCCGATGCGGCACGACGGCACTGCGTTGTTGTGCATCCTGGCGCCGCCGACTCGATTCGATTCGGACCCTGTGCCGATGCGGCCCGCTTCGATGCGCGTTCCGATCCGATCTGATTTACCGATGCGACGCGGAGCGTTCCTGCCATCCTAGGCGGAGAACGAGACCGCGCCGCCCCGGGTGAACGACAAGGAATTCGGAGGCTCGGCCGGCGCCCACGCCGCATACGAGGCCGCCTGCACGTGGAAGGCGCTCCAGACCTACAGGGCCCTGATGCGGCAGCGCGAGCTGTCGAAGAGGTTGCTCGAGGACAACACGGAGTACATGCTGCGATGGCTGCCGCAAGACCCGCACCCTACCACCGAGATGTTGATGGCCGCGGTTGCTGCGGCCTTGGAGGTGAAGCCCGAGGCGATTCTGAAGACGGGAGAGTTCGAGACGCACCGCCTCGTGGTTTTCGAGCACAAGCCGGCGTCCTTGCAGGACAGGCAGGCTGGACGTCAAGATGGCCAGGGTAGTGAATTTCAAGTGAGCGAGATAAGGAAACGGGTTCGTCTGCGCCGACATTGTCGCTTTAAATGGCCGCATAAGGTGCGCGCCAGCGCACCCGTTAACAATCTGGCGTGCCGCGCTGGCGGCCCGCGTAAGCCGCCGCGTGTGCCTATGTCACCTCGCGTGAGACCCGTTTATGACCGTTGCTCAGGCAGAGCCAGTCCTGGTGATTCGCAGATGTTTTGTTCACAACGTCGACCCCCAGAGGTCTCGACCCATTCCACGGAACCTTTCTTGTTTTGTCCCCATCTGTTTATTTGGCGGTGAATCGGATTGGTCGATTGGTCCCAAAACCGGCCCCTCCGCTTCCTGCTCCTCCTCCTCTTCCTATGCGTCTTCCTCTTGGCCCCTCTCCCCCTCCTCCTCCTGCTCCTCCTCCTGCTCCTCCTCTTGCCCCTCCTCCTCCTCTTGCCCCTCCTCGTCCTGCTAGTCCCCGTCTCATTCCGAAGGGGGATGAGGAAGAAGAGGGGAGGGGGGAGGAGGAGACAAGCTCCGCTTCGCTGCCGTTCTCGTTTTCGTAGTCGTCGTCGTCGTCATCGTCGTCGCGGCGGAGACTATGTTCCCTCTATTGTGGGGCGGGCTGGATAGCTGGATAATGTTTGGGGTTTCTTTCCCCTAGTGAATAATATATGGTGGGATACCCTGCACGCGAGAGGAATTGCGAGCATAGTCACATGAGGATTGGAATACGAATCAGTGGTTGCCTGTGCAGTCGTGATTGTAAATGCGATTGTAGTCGAAATCGTAGTCGCGGTTGTAGTCGTAATCGTAGTCGTCGTCGTCGTCGTCGTCGCGGCGGAGTTTATGTTCTTTCTATTGTTGGGTGGGTTGGGTAATGCTTGGATGTTCTTTCTCTAATCCATTGTGGGGTACCTTACACGTGAAAGGAAATTTTGTTCCCTCTAGTTTTGGGCGGGTTGAAGATTGTTTGGGTGTTCTTCCTCCCAGGGAATAACCCATTGTGGGCTACCCTACACGCGAGAGGAATTGTGAGCATCTTCTCGCGAGGATTACAATAGGAATCAGTGGTTGCGGTTGCAGTCGTGGTCGTAATCGAGATTGGACTCGTAATCGTAGTCGCGCGTGCAGTCGTAGTCGTAGTCGCCGTCGCCGTCGCCGCGGATGTATGTTCTCTATGTTCTCTTTCTTGTTGGGCGGGTTTGATAATGTTTGCGGTTACTTTCTCCCTGGGAATAACTCATTGGGGGCGACCTTGCACGCGAGAGGATTCGTGAACATTTTGTCATGAAGATTGCAATGATAATCAGTAGTTCCGGTTGTAGTCATGATGGTAGTCGCGGTTGTAATCGTGATTGCAGATGTAATCGTATGTTTGGTTGTAGTCGCACTTGCAATCATAGTCGTCGTCGTCGTCGCGGCGGAGATTATGTTCCCCTTATTTTTGGACGGGGATAATGTTTTGGGGTCCTCTCTCCAAGGGAATAATCCATTATGGGTTGCCTTGCACGCAAGAGGATTTGTGAGCATCTTCTCATGAGGAGTGCAATGCAAACCAGCGGTTGTGGTTGCAGCCGTGATTGTAGTCGTGGTTGTAGTGGCAATCGCAATCGTAGTCGTAGTCGTCGTTGTCGCGTGCCGGGTGCCGCGGATAAATATTTACTTTCCGCTATTGGTGGGGGCCCAGTCCTGCAACAAGGCCGCCCCTCAAAAATAGTTACTCCCCATTGTGGGGGTCTAAAGATTTATAGAGGTTGCTGAGCCCGGCGGGGACCCCCAGAGCCCGAAAAATTGCAACCACCCTCCCATCGTAGTTTTTGTCATGGCCCGACGGGGTCCTCCGCCTCCTTCTCCTCCTCCCCCTCCTCCAGTTCCTCTTCCTCCTCCTCCTCCTCCTCCTCCTCCTCCTCCTCCTCCTCCCCCTCCGCCCTCTCCTCTTCCTCCTCCTCCTCCTTATCCTCCTCCTCCTCCCTCTCCTCCTGCTCCTGCGTCCGGGTGCAGTCTTTTCGAGCCATGCTTCGATCACATGTGGCATAGAAAGTGTTACGGACCTTTGGGTAAGGTCACCACCTCCCAGAGGTGTCCCGTGATTGACGCACCTTGTATTTGCAAAGTGTGTGCGTGTCTTACAGAGGGCCATTGGTTTATACCGTCGGGAGAAGGGTGCAATTTTGTTTGATCTGGAGTTGTGGGGCAGGGCTCGACCTAAACGGTGTTTTGGCGATTTCGTGGACCGCTTTCGTTTTGAATCCGTCGTGAAGCAGAGGCGGAACGAAAGCAGAACGAGGAATCGCAAAAAAAGATGCAACAGCGTGGAATGGGGATTCCCCGCTGCAATGTCCCAGCGGAGAACTGCGGGAAACGTATTGCGAAGGCCTGACGGCCGGTGCCGCCGACCCTGTTCGCAATGCGCAGCAAGAGGCACGGGCTGTGGGATGGTTTGGGGGAACGGGGAGAAGGACGAGAAGGT